GAATGTCTGTTTGCATTCTGTCTCACAACGTCCTGCTCTGCCGACCTCGGGGGCCAAATGGGAAAAAGGAGAGAATTTGGGAGAATGATTCTCCGAAAAATTGTCTTTCTCCCTCCTCTGCTGTACCCCTCGTAGGTACTGTAGCTGTACTCGTACGAGTACTGTATCCTGGTATGATGAACTGTGTTGTTTCGGCCTCCCCCCCCCAACCTGCAGCAATACTTCAAGCCTTCCCACCTTACAGTACCTTTCGTAAACTCGAATCCACTCCTAGGAGGGCTTACTCAATTGATTTTCGCTATTTGCTTAAAACGTGGCAATTTGGGGGTCCTCTCGCCCTCTGGTCAGCTCAGTTGCCTGCCCTTGGCTTCATTCAACCCAATTTTTACGGAAAGGTACTCTATATCCCAATCTCTCGCAAGAAATTTGACGGTACTCTCTATTCGGGTACCTAAATGTCATGTCATGTCATACAACTCGGCAGAAAAAAACAAAAATAAATTCGGACCCCGTAGCACAACCGTGGCCCGTACAGCACGAGTACTCGAGTACCGGTACAAGTACTTGTACCATCTTCATGCGAATCCAGTGCCGCAACCGGTCAAGACGAGAGTTCTGGATGGAGCAGGGATGAGAGAGGGGGGGAGAGAAAGAGGGTTCTATTGTGAGGGGGGGGGGAATGGAGGGTAAATGAATGAATAAACAGCCAAACAGTGTGAGACAAAGGGCTGTGCTCAACTAGTCGCTGTTTGTTTTTTTTACTCCCCTCCCGGCACATTGTCGATGGATCGATGAGACAAGAGCCAATGGGAGCAACAGGAGCCCAACTCCGGAGGCAGTTCACTCGCTCGCTCGCTTGCTGGACTGGCTGGCAGGGACGTTGGTACGGTACCTCGGGTTCCGGTCAAAACCCGTGCTGTGCGCTGCCGCACGTACCGCACTCGAGGTACGATGGTACATCCCGTGCGCAAGGAGGCAAGGTAAGGCTGGTGAGGTAAGTAAGCTATGAGACACAGAGCCTTGTTTTTTTTTACCTTCATATCACTTGGAGAGAATTCAGATCATCGATCGGGTAATCACAGCAACATGAGCGACGAGAAGGAGAGTAGAAGTACCGGTACCGCGAGACTTGGCGCCCAGGAATGGAAGTATCATACTGTAATTCGACCACAGTGAGTCGTCTTTTGTCCGTGACCCCATCGGAGGGCTTCTGAAACTCCTCACCTACGCGTTCGGCGAGCTCGGTCGGTAATTTTCGTGTCGTGTCTCGTTACGGTATGTTTCTTCCGATTTTGTTCAAGGAAATAGATTCATTTATTTCTCTAACACTATTGTTGTGTGCGAGGTTCGAGTACTGCGCGATGCTTCTCTTTCTTTCTCTTTCTCCTTTTCTCCTTTCCCTCACCCTTTTGGGGCGTGACACGATACGACGGAATTGATGTTCTGTTTCCGTTCCGCTTCCTGGATTGCAGGACCGGGGACTTTGTGCTGTGAGGCAAGGTAACAGCCGGTCTCGGAGGTGGTCATGACATGCAGAGCGCTGTGGTTGTACAGTACTACAGTTGACAGAGCAACCCATATCCCCCCCCAAACTGGAGAACTTGAGGGGACAAGGGGGGGGCGGGGGTGAGGAATTTCCGGAGCAGGACCGACAAGCCAGGCATTTTGATCTAATGAAATCAGTCGAACTGACCTGAACCGAGTTGATTGACTGCACATTCCTGTGCTTCTGGCTCTGCACCAGTGGTACCGAGCGGCATCGACGGGGAGTTCCCGAACAGCTGATACGGGATGATTTTTTTCTCTTTTCATTTCGGGTCTGATACTGGAGATCAGAGTTACTTTTTCTTCTTTACATGCTTTTTATTTTCCACCTATTTTCGATATTTTCGTTGTTTCCCATTCATTGGTTACCGTATTGGCACCGCTGCGCTTTTAGCTAGCACAGCTCAATTAATCTTGTATTTGTGCAGGGCCATTCCAAGGGCCTTTGCACGGCCTCCCAGAGACTCGGGAATTAATTGGGGTGACATCGCTGTGTGTAAACGACTCGGTGTGTAAACAACTCGAGATCACGGGATATCACTCACTCGCTCACACAAGGAGGGTAGCAAGATTTCTATAATATATTATCCCTAATAAGGATGGTCTAGACACATGTCTTAGTGGGGCGTGAATTTGATTTCTCCTTCACCTCCTGCACTTGCCTTACCTTACCCGTTTTTAGGGGGCGTTCACACATGTCAATTCAGTCAGGCATACCCATCGGTCGAGTAACACGCCAAGGGGCCTAATATAGCATCAAGAATTGACCAACTGGCTATCTACACCATTTCTAGGCCCATGCTTACCCCCGACTTCATAAATTCCACATTTCCAGTCCCCCACATTCAACGAAGTGAAATATGGTGACCCCCATCAGCAATTAATCTACCACGGGGTATGATACTCCAAAAAATATGAAGGTATGATACCATAGCCGCTCGGCGCTCCCCGCCGTTGTCAGAGCCCGAGAAATATTATCATACTGTGCAAAGACCCGAATGATACCATGCAAGCACCGTGTTAAAAACCATATCTCACAAAACTTCGCTGCTCAGTCCCGGGATTTTCTACGTGGGATAAGCTTTGCGGCTGATTTTCCCACCTGCACAAGCGAAAGCGGGCCTAACTGAACACCTAACGGCATCTTGGTCGAATCCGTCTCTTTGCATATCACACCTCGTTCTGGATTGCGTCGCGCCCATTGGTGGTGATATGCGCTATAGGTGGGTTTGCGGAGCGAAGCTGTCCTCCATCCGCACGAGTTGCGGGAAAAAAGAAGACAGAAATGTGACCGGACCCCGTGCGCAATCGATTTGCTGCTGCTAGTCTATCAAGAGATTTGCGGTTCCGAGTGGGTAAAGTGGAGGGTAGTACGGGGAGCTGTATCTCTCGAATCGGAGATTCCAGTTTTGGTTTGGGGGAAGGGGTCCTGTTTTTGATCACCGGTGGGGATGTGGGGGGGGTAGTTGCTTTTTATGTGTCACGTTTCAATTGAAGTTGTAACAGGTGTTCATGCTGGATCACTCGGTGGGTGTGGTGCACGCATGAGGTTTGTTACTGGTCTGATCTCCTTAGGTCTGACCTGTGTGAGAGTGGGTTAGTCACACACCTGGTATAATAAGGCATCGCCACCTAGTCTGTGTTAGAGAGCGCTCTGCAGATCTATGCCAGAGGGTAATAGTTCGGCATTTGAACTCACATAGTCAGCAGGGTATTGGATAGATCCATCCACCCTTTTATTAAATCTAGCCACTGGTTGCATCCCTGCCTTGGAAGCTATGATACATTATGAATAACTACTTTTTTTTAGCTGATGCCTAGAGTATAGGTATAACAACACAGCGGAAGCAATGGAACATCACAACACACTCGCTCCAAATCCGTTCTAGGCTCGCGGAGCAGGGTGTCATGACACCTTGTCCGGGGGGATTGATAAAAATTCACAATATAGCAATTATTCCCGGCGAAAACACTGAACCTGGGAAACCAACATAAAGGCCGTTGGAAAGGGAAGCATTCCATAATCAGGGTACGCTGCACTTTTACATGTACAAGCCCAGTACCGCATTGGAGCTCGCAGATACTGTACTGTCGGCGACGCAGAGATGTTGTGTAAAGGTGACCGATTCAACCTCAGCTCCCTGCAAACTCATACTTGCCAAATCTTGAGCAAGACTCATTCCCGTTTCACCTAAAACATTCTGTACTGTAGCCCTCCCTACTCGTCCATCCGTAAAGTATCCGGACATGCAAGTGCCAAGAGCTGGTGTTTTCCGTCCAAATTCGACCGTCTTGGCATCTCTATCTCCGGATACCTTACGAATTGGCGAGGGTCCAGCCGACAACAGACGGTAAATGGAGGAATCGAGAAGTGAGACCGTAGTTCACAATATACTATCCCCCCTGAGCAATTGGTGCTCCTTCTAAGAGGTAGTGATTCAGCCTGGGCTGCATGCGCCATAGGTGATATCGTACCATATATTAGTAGTGAAGCAACGAGATACTATACTGTATGCCTCAGCGCAGAATTTACGGATGCGTAGTGGGTGGACATGCGTAAACACACCTGATAAAAGTTCCCTATTCCTCTTACCGTCTGGCTCCCATCAAAGCAGTTTCAATCCTCAGGGGGCTGTCACAAAAGATGCACTGCCAATACACCTTCACTTCGGTTTTTTTTTTTCATTTTTCATTTTTTTTTTTCCTAAGAGAAATAGAACTGACAGTGTAGCTTTCACGACAACCATCTCGAGAAAGTGAATCATGCGAGGAAAAAATGCCATCGCCGGCTCCTCAGCATAAGGCATGATGCATAAATCATGAGCAACTTTCCCGAAATCCCCGTGCGCATCACGCTCCCCTCCCCCCCCCCCAAAACTGCATTCCTGGATCGAACTAAAGTAACTTGATTCTCGATGATGGATGAAATATTTGTATGCAAGGGGGCGGGGGCGAGGAACGTGTTCTGCCGCCAGCCGATACGGCTCTCGATTCATTGCTTGTGTGCTCTGGATGTCGATCGTGCCCGGGCGATTGGTCCAGTGGCTTGAATTTGGAATGCTGTGAGACCGGTTTGTTTTTGCGTGATACAATGTGTTTTACTGGTATGCTTTGTACAGGCGTTTCTTCAGCGGGATTGTTATGCTGAATTGCAATTATGCAGGGTGCATCCGCAAGTGGTTTGTGCAGTATGAATATATGCCACTGGGGAAATGATCTAGTCACCGGGGTTTTATGGAATGCTACTTGTGCCGGAGAAGATCTAAGATAAGATAAGATAAGATAAACTTGCGATTTGATCAAGATAATCTAATTGTTATGATACAATGCCCAGGGTTTATCTACCCTGGTCCTTGGGGTAACATGCAAGGAAATGAACCGAGGCCCAGAAGGTCATTTCCCGATTGAAGCGCTTTCTGCTTCATTTTTGCCTTTCATTCATTCAACTACAATCTCCCAAAGCCAGCCAAAGTAACCGGGTGAATCTTCATCAATACCGAGTCAGCGACCCCTGGCAGCATCTATGATACGACCGAGCAAACTTCAGCCATGAAACTACCACGCCCACCGCTGCTCCTGAAAAGCAGAATAGCCCCGCCGGCCCCCTCCCGTGTGATATCTACAACCACGAAAAATGTGCGACCAAAGACGGCGATATTCTTCCCCGGTTTGTCTTCATCCTAACTATTCCCTAATGAGGAAGAATATTAAGACAATCAAATGATACTAGGCCAAGGTTCTCAAAAACAGGGAATGCTGACCCCGCTCACAAAAGCTTTCCCAAAGACCGTCATTCCACTTTTAGACCGACTCGACCTCATCTTGCCCGGCCTACGCCCTGTACTTTTCGATGGCCCGGGCTCATATCTGACTGAGACGCAAAACGCCCAGCCCGCAATCCTCGTCTCGTCCATTGCAATCCTCCGCGTTCTCGAGAAAGACTTCGGTGTCGACCCTACAAAGTTCGATTACTTCTTCGGCCACTCCCTAGGAGAATTCACCGCGCTCGTTGCTGCCGGAATAATCTCCCTGGAAGACGCACTCATGCTTGTCCGCCAGCGCGGGATGAGCATGGCTGTAGCGACGGCAAACAGCGAGGACGAAGTCGGCATGTACGCGCTCATCGTGGAAAAGGGCCAGGTGAAGAACCTCGAGCAGCAGATCAGCGAATTCATCGACAGTGAGGCACTCGGCGAGGACGAGTTCCTCAGCATCGCCAACGTTAATTCCTCGACGCAATTGGTTGTCAGCGGTCATGTGAGGGCCATAATGAACTGTGTCGGCCAAATACGGAAGTTCAAGGGCAATGATCCGAGAGCTATCAGGCTGAATGTTTCGGCACCGTTTCACTCCGGAATCGTGGCGCCTACCGTGTCGGTTGTTCGTAGGATGTTGCGGGAAATAGATATGAAAGAGGAAAATGTTAGGAAGGTTGTTTCTAATGTCAGTGGGCGACCGTACAGGCATTTGATAGAGATGCGAAATAATCTTCCATGGCAGTGCGTTAAGACTGTGCGATGGAAGGATAGTATCGAGTGGCTGGAGAAGAATTGTGGTGTGAGTAGATGGGTGGGCATTGGCCCCGGCAGGGTGCAGACAAATCTCGTGGGACAAGAGGTGAAGGGTGGGAAGGCTAATGTTGTCGCGGTGGAGGGTACGGATATTAAGAGGATGGAAGATGCTGCGGAGGCTCTTGGGAATCTGTAGGGGTTAGTGTACGTGTGGGGGTTGGATACATTCGGGATATACAGCACTGAGGCGCTAGGATTATAGGATTTTATCGTAAGATGGGCTGGTTAAAGAAAAATGTATATTAGTTAAGGTTCCAGTTTTTTCTGTGTAATTCCCTTACGGGTTTAATAATGCACCCCCCTCCCACAACTGGCTCGTCCAGCGGGAAGGCGCTGATACAGGTTCGCCCGTCGAGAGATATGTAAATCACATGATATCACTCGATATTCGTGAAACTCGTACCCGGATGTGAGGGGTGTCATGATTTGAGCGCATGCCTCACTGGATTCTTCCTTGGTATCCGGCAAAGATTATATCTATGTAAAGACATAAATATGGATAGCCCCCTCCAATGCGCACGGGAACTATGTCGCTGGGGCAAGAAACATTAGCTATGGTGCGGGAGTGCATTCAGTGCAAACAGCGTGCTTAGGCAGATCTATAAATGTTACCGCACCTCCCTCATCATGGCCCCCGCTTTCCTACCATACATAATCCTCTACTACACTCCGTAGCCAATTCCTGCCGTCAATTCACTTGCGAAACAAATCGCTATCCCATCTATCAAATGCCCCCCCACCCCCATTGCCAAAGAGGAGAATTCCACACGTGTCTATGGTGCCGAGGGAAAAACTTCTCTGGGGGCGATGCCCCAACACGTGGCTTTTTCTGGTATTTCGCCGTTTTTACGTCACTGGAGAAGAATGGGGCACTGGATACTCGAGCACATGGGCGGTGCGTTCAGGGTATTTTCTAGGAAGGGGTATACGAAGGGGGGTGAGCGGACGTGTATCTGTGCGGATCCTGGTGCTTCTTAGACCAGCCCGTTCGCTATATTCCACCGGGGATACTTGCGGCGACTGGCGGAGATTAGACTGTGGAGGCACTTTGGATTACTTGAAGTCGGGGGCATGATACTAGTGAGTGAGAACGGCACGGCGATTGGTGGGGACAAACTGACATACCCCCCCTTCCGACCTTCCTTGATTCTATCATACGAAACCAATAGATAGCCAACCAATTTTCAGATTTCGATTTTTTTAATGGTGCGAGGGCCGCCCAGCCGGTGCCGCCGCCGCTCCCCGATCCACTCCGCCTTGCACCGCGCAAGACCCGATATCCACATGGCCTGCCACACCTATAGAATATAGGGGAAAGCCTGGGCGGCCTTTGGTCGCCAGTTAGAAACGCTAAGTCAAGGCGTGTAAATATTCCACGGCTCGGTGCAAGCTTTCCAAGGCGATAGGCTCGCAGCCACGCTGGGACCCAAAGGGAAGGGGATCGTATTGAGGGATCATGGATTGTTGGCCGTTGATAGGGCATAAGGCCGGGTGAGGCGGGGTATTTGTTCGTGCTTGTGGAGAGGAGCTGTGACGTGCAGTTGCTGGCTGAGGCGGCGAGGGGTAGGGAGAGGACTATTATTTGGGTGGGGTATGTATGGAGGCAGGATATGCTTTTAGGATGACAGGTGATCTGGCATGTGGTTGTGTTCATGTGATAGTGCTTTCCTTTTCCTATTTCTCCATTGGAGCTGATTGCGGGTGATTTAGGAATCTTTACTCGTATATCGCGAGTCTCAACTGGAATATGAATCTGAGGTGGAGATGACGGGTGAGGCTATCAAATGGATGTGATGTTTCTGTATCTGGTAGAGTGGGGTCGCCTAATCCGGTTCACGCTGTTGCACGGTACGTAGTTTCACTCATAGATGAGGTATCATAGTGTCAATGATTACAGATGTCGTCGGCGGGGAAAGCCTTTTGAAAACATATCCACCAATGGTAGCATATATATATATATACCGAGTAATTCCCTCAAGGGTTATCTCCTATCAACTACCAATTCTCGCCACAACCCTTCCTAACCCCTAACCACCAAGTATAATTAGTAAAAATGTCACCAAGAGGTGGAGGAGGACGTGGCGGAGGAGGAGCTGGAGGAGGAGGGGGATATAGCGGAGGACGAGGATGGGGACATCGTTCATCAGCAGCGTATTCCCCTCACAATCCATCAATCGATATGCTGAACTGACCAATCCTCCCCCGCTTCGTGAAATTTAGTGGACCCGCACCCGCGCCCGCACCCGCACCGCCACCCGCGCAAATAGGTGGTGGATCCGGCAGAAACCTTGGCGCCGCAGCCGCAGCCGGTGCGGCAGGCGGGCTCGTGGGAGGTGCGGCAGGTGGAATGATAGGTTCATCCATAGCCAATCACCACCACAGCGGGAATCGCCAAGATGGTCATTACGGGAACGAGACCATGTCATCGTTCGCGACGCCGAATCCCATGTGTGATGTAGGAAATGTGGCGCTTTGGCTGGTTGTTTTCTGGGTTGCGTTTGGGTATTGGAGGTGACTAGGAGCGTGGGAGGAGTGGATGGAGGAGTTTGTCCGGGATGGTGACTGCGAGGAGGAGGGAAGGGTGGACATGAGCATTTAAGCTTGGGGTATGGCTTTCATGTCTTGGCTAGTATTGGGGGGGGAATTGTAATTTGGGTGTCTTCCACGTAGCTTGCGTCCTTTCTAGGATGAGGGGATCGCTGAACGGTTGGATTGGTTGATAACACGTGTGGGAAGCAGGTAGTTTGCTGTTTTGCATTGTGCGGTACCTGCGTCTGTTGGTTGATGTTCTTTGAGGGGGTTTTATATGCAACTTGTTGATATTTTGCCGCTGTTGTTGGTGCTAAAGGTGTTTCTACTACTAGTATTTGTAAAGAGATCATGATAGGGAATACACACGCTTGCTGATGCGGGGTGTACAGTACAGTACTGTGCATAAGATACTGGAATCGAAGTGGTTGAACCTGACCTCGGTAGCCGATACTGGCTTGTTTACCGGGGGCAAACAAGTTCAAGCTTTGTTGCCTGGGGGATGCAGAATACGTCACTGTCAACAAACCAACACAGCAGCCGCAACTTCTTCTTTTGCCAATCCCAACAGCTGCGGTACTGTACACAACCACTATCATCCCCATCTCATCCCGGCTTTTGTCAATTCTCCTCTCACCCCCCTTTCGCCCCTCCCATCCTTTTCCCCCTCGCTCCCCCTCTCCCCACTAACCTCCTCATACTTGCATTCTCATCACGACTCATCTCAGCTCCCTTCCCCCTACGATCTGCATTTAACGTTTTTAGCCGAGCTTACCCCGGTTGCTTTTGACGCCTTGCTCTACGAGCCCAAAACAGAAACCAGGAATAAAGAAATAAAGAAGAATTCAAAATGAAGACTACGACAAGCGCATTTTTCATTCAGTTCCTCCTAACAGCAACCCCTTTTCTTGCGGCGGCCAGTGCGCCCTACAGATGGCCGGCCGGTATTGACCCCTCGAAAAAGTACTGGCCGCCCGGCGAAGGGCCCCCGTCGAAGCGATGGCTGAACGAGCTCGCCGAAGCGTTCAATTTGAATCAATCTTTTACCCCAGAGTCCATCAGTCGGGCGTTCGCCGTGAAGAAAATTATGGATCCGGCTGAAAAGTTCATGCCCGAGTATTGGAATTGGAACGGGAACGGGGCGGAAGGGGAAGGCAAAGGACAGCAGGTTATGGTGGCCAACCTAACATTTAATTCACCAGTTAGGAGGAATGTGTTTGACAGCTATGCGTATGGGGGCCTCTTCAAGAGGCAGAGCTTTCAGTGTGCTATCGGAACCCATGCGTGTTCTAATATTGGGCGCTCGCAGAGCTGCTGTAATAACAACGAGCAATGCTTTAAGATTGAAGATACTGGTTTTGGGGATGTAGGGTGCTGTGTCAATGGTATGTTTGGCCTATCCTTTTCTGTGGCCCTTTTAAGGTTAGGAGCTAGTCTGAGTTATGCATTGTATTAGGGCAAACGTGCTCTGGGAATCTCAAAGGCTGTGGAGATGATAAAAAGACTTGTTCTAGTCGGGAAGGTGGCGGTTGTTGCACTGAAGGCTATAACTGTTCGGCGCAAGGCTGTATGTTCCCTAATTTTACATAGCCCATCTACTCTCCCTTTTACTAACAGCTCTCAGGCGTTCCAGCAGAAGGGCAGGTTGTAAGCAGTTCCACTACACCTACTCCTACATCATCGACAAGTCCGTCAATAACCTGTTCGTCTGGCTACTACGCTTGCCCCTCCAACCTCGCTGGTGGCTGTTGTCCATCCGGGCGTCTTTGCGGTGTGAGTGACTGCCCAGAGCAGACAATTACTGCAACACCCGTAGCCTCTGGCGATACATGCCCGACAGGATACTACACATGCTCCGCGCAGTTCAATGGAGGCTGTTGCAGAATTGGCCGTGACTGCGGTATAACTGATTGCCCTGAGAGGGCTATTACCATTAGCAGCGGAACATCTCAGGGTGCACCCGCAGTAACTACCGGAGGCAGGTGTGCGTCTGGTTGGTCGTCTTGTCCTAATAATCTCGGCGGTGGATGTTGTCCAGCGGGGTATACTTGCGCTCGCGAAAATTGCCCTGCTGTTACCCTAACTGGGTCTAATATTGTCGTCTCTGGAGCGGTGGGTTCCGCTTTCTTTCTATCTATCTACGCAAAAAATACTAACGGACGGGGTAGACCTTAAATGAGCCAGTCGTACTCCCGGCAACCGGGAAACGCCAACCTACTGCCGGCATTACTCCCAATGCGGCACGATACGGAAAGAACACCAGTGGCGTACGTGAGGTCATCGTCGTAGTCGGCGTGGTAGTTGGTGTCGTTGCAAACGTCTGATGCCACTTCTCTGAGAAGGTGTTTGCATATCGTATAGGAAAGGTTGGGGATTTGTCCTTTTGTTGAATTTGGAGTATTCTGGCTTTGATTTTGATTTTGAATTTCCTGCGAACTGTGATATCCTTGTTTCTTTTTTCTCCTGTTTTGTGTCACAGCGGATACCCGGTGGAATCCGTGGAGCTTACGTCTTTCGGTGATTATGTGTGATGGTATATATGACTTTTTTTTTTTAGCGCAAGCACAATTAAGTAATACCGTAGATGATTCCCAGTGTTAGTAATTAGTGCACGAGTGATTTAAAGTGACTGCGAGTTCACATTTTATTTAAAATATTTTTATTGATTTATACGTTGCTTTTATTACATTCACAATTTGTTGTATCTGGGGACAGTTAGCGTTCCCGAAACATACTCCGACGACATACTCCGACGTTCTGTTAACTTATTCTAAAAAGCGAGCACGTAGCTTTCGGTAGGATTTGGATGACTTTATACGTTCCGCATCGGAGACTAGCGAGCCTGCTGCTGTAGGGAGGCTGATGTTACTGTGCTGTTGAGGTAGGTTCATCTGGCTTTTGTGCCTGGGACTATTATTGCAATCGGTTTCTTGGGCGGGCCCAGAGTTGTCTTGATCTCCGTCCTCGAGCGGATTCAGAGCTGTCTTGGTATCCACCCGCGTCTTTGCCCTTGCGTGTAACGGGGAGCGGAGCTTGAGTATCGGCATGTTGGTATAACTTCACTCCCCCGCACTCAATGTCTCGAGCTTCGGAGAGGCAAACTCCTCCATCATCCGAATCTTGACCCTTAAATAAACTGACGCCTCCTCCTTCCTCATCGCTCTGGCACTCGTCGTTGGCAGGGTTCGCTTTGGGTGCCTGAACACGACCACGACCTTTGAAAATGTTCTCGTTTTCCTCATCCTTTATGGAAAGGGTAACTCTACCGCCTCTGCCGAGTTGGTATTTAACCTCCCACCCGCATTGTGGACAGAGCTCGCAGCCTTCGTTGAGATTGTCGTTGCCCGAGTTGACTGCTCCTTCTTCATCCACTGCGCGCCAAAATGCTTTAGAGGCTCTCGCCCTCTTATCTCCGCCGCCTCCTGCCATAATGCCAAAAGGGAACGCCCCTCCAGAATGAACGCCCCTAGCTGCCGCGGGATTGTTCTCGGCGCTCCCACCCCCGAGCCTCAACTTGGCGTCCTCCAGCGCGTCGAGGAGGGAGTTGAAGTGTGTCTTTTTCTGGGATTCGGCTGGTTTCTGCTTGAGATTTGCCATTGCGAGAGTTTCCTGTAGGAAGAGGTGGAGGTGGTCTTTGTGGGTGAGGAAGGATATGGCTTGTTCCTGCTCAATTGGGGGTTGGTCTATTGCTGCTTGACTGTCTGATAGTTGTGGGGAGGATAGTTTGTCGGGGTGTTTGTCGGGGTGTTTAGGTAAGTCTTGTTCCTGTTCAATTGGGGCTTGGTCTATTGCTGCTTGACTGTCTGATAGTTGTGGGGAGGATAGTTTGTCGGGGTGTTTGTCGGGGTGTTTAGGTAAGTCTTGTTCCTGCTCAATTTGGGGTTGGTCCATTGCTGCTTGACTGTCTGATAGTTGTGGGGAGGATAGTTTCTGGTCTGCCATGGTTTTGGTAAATAGTTGTGCTTTTATGTGGGTATGGTGCAGATGGTGCGGATGGTGGAGTAATGGTGCAGAGATGGGATGAAGAAACTTTCTTATCGTATCTAGTCCCGGCATTTTGAGTGTGAGTTATATAATTCGGGTTTCGGGCTCGAACAGCGGGGGGGGGCTCGAAAGGTAGTTTGAGGTTTTAACAGTTTCATTTTCCATTGCTCACATACTATAATATACTGCTTTATGGTATAATCGACGCAATAAGCTAACCGCGTATCTCATCTAGTCAAGAATCATGTTACCCTGGAGCTTGAGTACTTACCCTCCATCCAGCCTGAACTCGTCACCTTTCAGCGGTCACAACAATCCAGCATATTTTACAATAACATTAGAGTATTGACCTACTATCCCTGACTAATACCGCGTCAAGCAGACCAGATGTCCTATAATCACAGGTTCCCTCTGAATCTCTTGATTGAAGTGGAGAACCCAAAAAGCTATCCACTCTTCACTCCCTGACTTCTCAAAAGTTCTCATACTACCGAAACTAGGTCATCTCTCGTGGAAATGCTATAGGGGGGAAGAAACATGGTTTGGAAACAGGGGTGGAGTGGCAAAGACTTGAGCATTACTTACGTTGACTTTCCTGTTGATTGGGATTTGAGTTTCTTTGGGACCAGTATTTCCCTCTGAGGAAGGCAGGGAAAACTTAGAAAAGGGAGGCAACACAACGTTAGACGTGAGCTTCCTGATCCCGGTGGGTAATGGGATGCCGCAGATCCGTCGGGCGGGGTGTGAACTCTGTTAACTCGCTGTTGTGGTTTACCCTCATTCCTGATACAGATTGGACTATTTTTTAATTTCTGAGAGAAATTCCATAACAGGGGAAAGGTGTGCCGTGAGACGTTTAGGCTGTTTAAGCTGTGGGCCCCATTATTCAGCTCCAAACATAAAATTGGTTTCGGATGTACTCTTCACAACCTATCACTCGATATCCTGATCTGATATAAGCTTATGTAACGATGCGCAATAGCTCTTGTGGAAAAAGAAATAATAGTAAAGTAGATAATACTTAAGTTATCTGAGAAGGCAGGATATAGCCTGGCTATATAGAAAGAGTTTTCGAGTTGACATCCACACAAGAAAGTAGGAAACAAAGAATAATTAATAGGCCTACGAGAATAACAAGTGGAATAAGTGGAATAAAGAGAATAGGAACAATAACAAATAGTCAGGCCTGGCAAGGACTAGCGGAAAAGCTCTCTGAATGAAGCCTTTAAGAGTATAAAGAAATACTCATCAGAAAACAGCTTACGTCGGAGGTTGGTGAAAAAGGTGGTGAGGTCGAAGACGATGGAAATTGGAAACATATCATTATGTGGAACCAGTGTAAACGGGGGTATCGGGAATTATTGCATTAAAGTGGCACCTGCGACAGCTTTCTGGGTTTCCCAGTGGATAAGTGTGGTATTACGGAGGATGGATAGATTTTCAGAAACCCGGTAGACCCCGAACATACCGGTCGGATACAAAGGGCGCCCTGTAAAGCCGTTAGTTGTCGAGGGAAATGTTTTGGGCAAATGATAGTAAGAATGGGTAGTAGGGATTGTCTTGGAATCACATCTACTATTCACCTTTTTTTTTTTTTACCCATATTTTAACTTGGAGAAAACTCGGCACGAAATTAACTCTGTAAGAATCCGGAAGCGAAATATTCTGAGAGCAATCATGTTAATGCAGGAGTGTAAAGCAACAAGCCCTTAAGTGGTACTGTAGGTTGTCAAACTATCCAAAAGACCCTTTCTCGACAAGTTCCTCTTTGGCGGTGCTCCTGACTATGATACCTTTGATTTTAATCGCACAGATAGAAGACTATGCGTTAACAAAATTTAGTGCTTATCTATTAAACGTCCGGTCCTACTGATGGCGACACCAAGCCCATGTATCTATTGTCCGCTACCACATTCCCAATCTCAATAAAAATTCTGTTCAGACTCCGCGCTGAAAATAAGACAATGTTTCACCTTCGGTCGGTCTCTATGCAGAAAAGGTATCACTCACATAAACTCTTTCAGCTGAAAAAGCCTGCCCAGAGTGTTTGCAACCCCCCGTATTTGTCTGACGATCATGGCGCTATCAGCTGGAGCGGTCGGTTTAGACAGTAGTTTCATAGATCCATATTACCTAGAGTATCCTCTGTACCCTATTAACAGTTTTTGAGGCGTTCTTTGTAGTACATATGATGGGAAAACTTCTGCGGAAGCTTCTTGCGAGACGGGTGGCTAGCACGGCTGAACTGCTGAACGAGCATGGGTGGTTAGGTCTCGGTATGAGACAACTAAGGACGTCCAACTTGGGGATTGGACGTAATCCCTTGAACGGGATTATCACAAGTGGTGAATATTGAAATGGCACTTTTCTGTTGTGTACTTGTCCATTACACGGGGACCGTACTGTACAAGGAATGCCATCTCTGGCATAATCAAGGCGAGGGAAATGATTCTAGAAAGAGAGAAACTAGTAGTTGTTTTATAGAAAAGATTGTGTATCTTGTATTAATGATAGAAAAATATAGGAAAGATCAGAACAAAGAATAAACTAGTTCATAGTTTATTAAATATAATACTGTTAATTGAAATCTGTACTCAGTTCAGAGTTCTTTGAAAATCCAAGTGTATAAATAAATTATTAAAAATAGTTATTGCTTGAATTACCTTATAGATGATAGCTTTGTATCAGCTTTTATTTACATATCTAGTTTCTTGATTTCATATTTGTAGCTTGTAGAATTTTGTTTTATTTATAGTTTGTAGAATTTCTACTCAATTTTCACCTGCTTATAGATCCAGCGTACCAAATTATTTTCTGAATACTCATATAACATGCACTCAATACTATAAACTGAATGATTAGGATACCAATCTAATAACTATAATTTATATATTCATTAATCTGAAATAGAGGAGAGGAAAAGTCAAATACCTTTAAGATGGCTGTTACAGCAAGCATTTTAACATGTATTGCATATACTATTTCACAAGTGCTAGTATTATAACATAATATTATAACACCTGATGAGCCCAAAACAGACATGACTAAGAAATACAGCAAATGCCAAGATGCTTATGTAATCAAAAGAAAAGACCAAAGTAAACAGGATTTAGGGTATAGGCTACAAAACTCATAGAGGCTAAACCATAAAGAATTAATTGTAAGATCAAAGTTATAGTATAATGGAGGTT